ATGGCATTTTCAGCATACAAATCAGTCTGTTCATTTCTGGGTCTTTAATCAAACCATAACACACATGCATGAAGGTCAGGTTGACTGGATAGAATGGCGGCAGCATCAGTTTATTCTGTAGATCCACGGGGGCCAGGTCATCCTTTATCTCCTCCTCTCACCTGTATTAGGAAACTCGGGCTGCCATCACAGAGTAACAAAGACTGGGTGGCTTAAACCACAGAATGTATTTTCTCCTAGTTCTGGAGGCTAAAAGGTTAGAAGTCCAGCATCGAGGTGCCAGTAAGGTTGAGTTCTGGTGACACATCTCCTCAGTTTGCAGACGGTCGCCTTCTTGCTGTGTCCTCACATGGCCTTTCCTCCTTGGGTGTACTTCCTGCGTCTCTTCTACTTCTCATAAGGAGAACAGTCTTACTAGCTTAGGGCCCCACTCTTATGACCTCACTTAACCTTCATTACCTCCTTAAAGGTCCTATCTTCAAATACAGTCACATTGGGGGGTTGGAGCTCAACATATGAATTTGGGGCTGGGGGATACAGTTCAGTCCATCACACACCTTAAGGATGATACCTGATGTCTCCCATTCCACCCTCCATACCCCTTCTCTCGAGGTGCTCCATGCTGAGGGGTACTGATCTCTGTGTCCTGTATGGTCTCCCAGGTCCTCTGGCTCCCAGGTTTTAGCCAATGGGATGGATATGGGAGAAATGGGGCGGGGAGAGGAGGAGACTGGGTCTCAGTATGTATTCCCCTGGCCCCTTTCTGAAGGGCTGATAGGGGTTGGTGTGTCCCCTGAGCAATTTTCAACTCCTGTTATCCCCTCTGTCTCCAGCTCCAGTGACTTCTCTCTACCCAACTCCTTGCAGGCCTGGTGCAGGGGATGGGTTATTGACCCAACACTGTCCTTAAGAGTTTCCCTTCACCATTGCCCAGTTGTGAAGTAATTACCTCAAATCATCTGTTTGATACAGGACGTCACCTCGGTCTGGAAGGGACGTTTCCAGGGTAGCAGCATCCCACTGTCTATTAACCAACTGTTATCCCAACCCAGGGGATCTCCCCAGGGCCCTTAGCCATGCCATTGTCCTCCCGAGTGGTGTCATCTGTGGATACTGCCAGAATAGAATGACTTGAGGTCATTGTGAAGGAGCCCTTGTGAAGTAGGGATCTTTAGGGGGGCTTTGAGGTCAGACCCTGAGTCCTTCCCTTGAGGACACTCGGGAGAGGTCCGAAGTTCTGATTCTGCAGGTCTGGAGAGAACTTGGAGGCTGGTCTGCTCTTAGATCCTAATGCCACGCTTCAGTGAGGACTCAGGAGTCTCAGCTAAACACAGCATAGCAAACATAAGCCCAAAAGAAAACTGCTGTAAGGGCTAAGGGCTCAGGCTTTGGTGCCAGTTGGATTTCAAGCTCTGGCTCTGGCGTTGGTCAGCGTTTCTGAGCCCCCATTTGGTCATCTGTAAAATGATGATATAGACTCGCTTTGTGCAGAATAACGTTGAAACAGTGCTTGGCGCATAGTAAGTGTCTATAAATGTTAGCTCTGTTGTTTTTAGCATACAGTGGACTTTTGTGTGTAACACTCCTCTTGATCATAAAGTAAAATTGTCTCTTAAGAATTGGTCCTAATACAGGAATAAATGTATTTGTATTTGTTTATAAAAATCATACACTGTTGCCAAAGGATGGTATGAAAATAAAATAAAAATCTTTCCTAAGCTTACCAAACAGGGTAAGTTCTGTTACTTCGTCACTTTATGGTAGCTTTATGCCTTTAACCTTATGCACATTAACTTCTTTACGTACACATACATTTTTTCCAAACAGAGACCATGCTATATCATTCTGTATCCTACATTTGTCTCTACATCATGAACATAAAAGTATCTCCTGAATATTTTCTTATTAAACATTCTTTAAAATTGAATTAGTTTTTAAAGATCTCTTTTGAATTTTATACACAGGCAGTCATAATTTTACATAGATATATAAATGCGTCATATATGCGCTCTCATTGTTTTGTGGTTTTACCTCTTCATGGTGCTATTTCAACCAGGTGGGTTTTGCATTATTTCACGTGTTCTGTTGACCTGTTAGGTAAGGCCCTGATGTGACCAGGCTTCTCACCTACAATACAGTCGCTTGGTGTGTGGTAGAGAAGCTACATTTTGGTGATGAACTGGAACCTTCCTTCTTTGGCTAAGAGGGTCTATTTCTGAAGTCCAGGTATAAGTCAGTGACTAGAATTTTTAAATCAGGCCACCCACAGGTAATGAGGGGCAATTCTGGGATTGACAAACTATTGAATATAGTCCTTGGTGTATGGTGGCTTGGTGATTTTTGCATCTTTTTCCATGTTTCATGAATATTTTGGTGGGAGACTGAAGGAAGGTAAACCAGACCCAGCTGTCCAGGGCAGTAGCATCCAGAAGTTTCTTTTCCTGTCTCTTCCTGAATTTGTCCCATTCCTGTGTAATCATATTGCATTTTTCCACATTGAAGGACAAAAGGAAATCTATGCTCAAGTCGGTCAAATCATGTCATAAATATTCTGTTCCTTGAGGATTCAAGGTCAGAGACAGTTTATCACAGATACTCCGGATTCTTTGTGGCCTCTCTTCTTGGTTCTTTTTTCCAGAAATTCTAAGACATCATCCCAAATATTTTTCCCTACCCCTAGGACCAGAAAGTGAGGGCCTGGAAGGAAGAGTCTCAGCCATCCCTATGTGATTTTTGGTTCTCGCTTCCTAATTACAAACTAAATGTTAGGTTTGGTGAGGTGTCCTCCAGTGTGCCTTCTAGTTTTAAAATGGTGAGATTTCTCCCAGACGCAGCTATAACTATTCCTATAAATATTCTTCACTTAGGCTTACCTCTGTTTCCTCCCAAGACCTCATCTTATAGAACCAAATAGTCATTATGCTTCAATATATCTATATTCTACTTTTCTTCTTGATTATTTTATGACATTAAGGATAGCTTTAATTTATGCCAAGGTTTGGCAAGGAAGAATATGACTCCATCTCCTAGCTATGTAAGATCATGAGTCTGGTTGAAGATGTCATCTGCAATCAAATATGTTTGAAAATTACTTCAGAATGTGCCTAAGGTCATACAGCCAGTACAAGGAAGAGTTTTGCAATGACCAACCACTATTAAAGACTCTGAGGAGTTCTGCAGTAAGAGAACCTGTTTAATTTTGCTGAACTCAGAGTTTCCAAACATATTTGATCTCTTGATATCCTTTTATTTCTGGTAGCATCCATTAATAATCCTTAGTTATTAGTGTCCACACCATGCACAGGGGAGGCACAGTTCTAGAAGGAAGGATATCGGACTTTTTCTGCCAATCACTGACATGTCATCTCAGATAAATACATAATCTTTCTACACCTCATGCTCCTCACCTGTGAAATGAGGGTGCACAGTAGCACCCCCTTCATGGTGGATGTAAATGTTGGTAGCAATAGTATTTGACTGTGGTGATTGGTGATTAATAATATTACAATTCTGGGGTCCAGCTGTCTGAGTTCAAATTTTGTCCTTCCTTGTACTGGCTGTATGACCTTAGGAGCATTACTGGACTTCTGTACTTCAATTATTCACCTGTATGGTGGGGACACAAATTGCACCATTCTCACAGGGTTATTAGAAGAATTCATTCTGATTCACGTAAAACTTTAGAACTATGTTTGGTCCATGGTAGGTACCTAATAAATGTTAGCCCTTATTATTATCATCACTAGAGGCCCGGTGCACAAATGCATACACCAGTGGGGTCCTTAAGCCTGGCTTGCGCCCTCTCACAATCCGGGACCCCTTCAGGGATGTAGTGGTGCACGAAGTGTCAGGCAGCTTAGAAGGAGCCTGAGGTGCCACTGCAGTTCATCCTGGCCCTGCTGCACCTGCCACCATCTCTTGTTAGTGCTGCTATAGAGGCGGACTGCTGCAGCTATGCTCGCCAGCTATGAGCCCGGCGTCTGGTGCCCATCGGTCAGCTGAGTGGCACTCCCACTGTGGGAGTGCACTGACCACCAGGGGGCAGTTTCTGCATTGAGCATCTGCCCCCGGTGGTCAGTGCACATCATAGCAACCAGTTGAACGGTCGAATGATTGACCAGTTGCCTAGGGTTTTATATATATAGATTGGTGCTATTGTTACTTCTATAACTGTGCCATGTGAGAAAGATTATTTTAGTTACTTCTTTTATGGGTTTATTTGACTTATAACATTATATTAGTTTCAAATGTACAACGTTAATGATTCAGTGTTTGTATATATTGTGAAATGTCATGAGAGTGAGTCTAGTTAACTTCCATCATCTCACATAGTTACCAATTTTTTTCTTGTGATGAGAACTTTTAAGATCTATTCTCTTAGCAACTTTCAAATATGTAATACACTATTATTAATCACTAGAGGCCCGGTGCAAGAATTCATGCACCAGTGGGATCCCTCAACCTGGCCTATGGGATCGGGCTGAAACCGGCTCTCTGACATCCCCTGAGGGCACAGACCAGGCCAAGGGAACTCACCGGTACATGATCGGGGCGGGGAGGGACTGCACAAGGGCTCCAGGGCATGTCTGGCCCATTTTGCTCAGTCCTAATTGGCTGGACCTCAGCAGCAAGCTAACCAACCAGTTGTAGCATCTGCCCCCTGGTGGTCAGTGCACATCATAGTGAGTAATTGAGAGGCCTTAGCATATCATTAGCATATTATTCTTTGATTGGTTGAACAGATGACTGGACAACTGGACACTTAGCATATTAGGCTTTTATTATATAGGATAGTCACCATGCTATACATTTTAGTTTCTACAAGTAACTCCTCTTACATCAAAACACAACTTAAAGTTAAACACAGCATGTTATTAAAATAGCATCACACACTCCTGCAAATATCTGATTGTGTCTTGTCAATTTTGATCTCTTCATCTAGAGCCTGGGATCCTCGTCTTCCATCATTTAACTGCTTAACATTTTGTCTTTGTGAACAGGGGCGGAGAGGCCTGGGCTCTGTTTTTGTCTGGGCGTCAGGCAATGGCGGAAGGAGCAAAGACCACTGCTCCTGTGACGGCTACACCAACAGCATCTACACCATCTCCATCAGCAGCACAGCCGAGAGTGGAAAGAAGCCGTGGTACCTGGAAGAGTGTTCCTCCACACTGGCCACAACCTACAGCAGCGGAGAGTCCTACGATAAGAAAATAGTACGTGCCATTTGCATGCCTGCCAGGATGTATTTATTTATCCTTCACTTTGACATCCAGACAGAAAATCACAAATCCTTTTTTTAATACTCACCTGAGGACATGCTTAAGATACGTTGTATGCAAGTGTGTGTGTGTGTGAGAGAGAGAGAGAGAGGGAGAGGGAGAGAGAGGGGGAGAGAGAGAGAGAGAGAGAAAGAGAGAGAGAGAAGGAGAAAGAGGCAAACATCGATCAGTTGCCTTCCATATGCTCCCCGACTAGGGATCAAACCTGCAACCCAGATATGTGCCCTGACCAGGAATCTCACCAGCAACCTTTTGGTGCTCTGGGCAACACTCAACCAACTGAGCCACTCCAGCCAGGTGGGAAATCCCAAATTTATATGCACATGTAATATATGGAAATAGAAAGTCTGATTAGCTGATTACTCAATACAAGTATTTGTAAATGCTACCATTTCGTGGAAAAACCCTGTCCAGATGATGACATCCTGCATTTAATGTGGCCTTAGACATGATTACGCTTCAGTTATATGGAGGACAAATGAATGGTTCCCCTTTACCCAGTGAGTTAGTGGTAAGAAGGGACTAGAATCTAAATCTGACTCTGAGCCCGGTGCCTGTATCCCTGTAGTCCCCACACTGCCTTTCAGCCTTAGCGTCAGGGCTTCGGTTTCCAAAGACAGCTAATTCAGAGGGAAAAACAAAAGTATAGGAGGAAACCCAGAATTCCAGTTGGACTCTCTTTATTTAACGTGAACGAAACCTATACGAAAGATGCTTTTCTAATATTTCCTCACCAAGTTGGCCTGAGTGAAAAGCACAGAGTCCTGTGTGATCTCCTGCTTGCTAACATGCCTACTCTCTATGCAGACAGCAAAAGGATTGGTGAGAGTTCAGGTTGCAGGACCAGCCTGCATGGGTTTCATTGGGTGTTGAACTATTTACTAGCTGGGTAACTTTAGACACGGTACTGAATTTTTCTCTTTTAGTGCTCTTGCTTGTAAAGTGGGGACATTTAATAGTTCATAGTTTGTGGAGTTATTACAGAGATTATGAGGAAGTAAATAAAAAGAACTTTGTGTACTAGCTGACCCATTTGTGCTCCAGAAAGATCTGGCTTTGGGGGTACCCTGCACATGCTGCTGATTCTAAATGTCAAACACCTTTGTACTTTGCTCTTTTCCTGATCATGGTTTTGTGACCTGTCTAGGGTTTTGTCTTACTAAAGTGGAGTTCAGCTGCTATGCCTGCCACCTTAACATTTAGCCAAGACCTTGCTCTCGGGTCTTATTGATGCTACATCTGACTTTTCCACGGCAGTGATAGGACCCTACCTCATCCACGGTGTTCTTTATTCATTTATATTATATGATTTTATGTTTGATTTTTTAATTACTTCTTAAGACCTTTAGTGACGTTTTGCAGATTGATTTAAATAAAAACTGCCTACCATGTACAGATCCCATCTGTCCCCATCTTGCCCTAACTTCTTTACCATAGCTGGGCTAAAAGAAATACACATGGGTCTGCCTTTAAGCACCTCCATCAATCATCAGTAAACATAACTCTGCAATACACAGTGAAATATGAAAAGAGGAAGTACAGAGATGAGTATGTTTTGAAGTTTCACAGCTTTCTTAATGGGATCGTGATCCTCTGTGATGTGTTTGTTACCTTCATCATGGAAATACTATAATAGAGGAATGTTCCTTCAGCTTTCAAATATGAAGACATTGTTTCTCAGAACTAATAATCAGTGTCCACTAGTAATAAGAGACACTGGTCAGTCCTGCATCATGAAAATCTTGAGAAAACTCCTTGGACTAAGGATCCCCTTCTTATACCTCTCAAGTATGAAGGCAGTTTGAGACAGACTCACCTTTGCTTCAAAGTAAATAGGCCCATCTAGTCCAATTTATCCCTGATTGCTGGGGTTGAAGGGGGGGTACTCTTAAATTCCATAATTGTCTTCCTTAAGGAAAACTTACAATCCAAAGGGTAAAATATCAAAAGGAAGGGAGGGTTGTCTGAGCCTCATATAGGAGAAACAATGTGGACAGAGGGACCTCAAAATTGTTACTGTTAGATTTAGTCCTTAGACTTGACCTTCCTGGTCCCTTCATCATTATTTGCTGTGATTGTGCAGTAGCTTTTATGACCCCCATGACAGGATGGTCATGTAGGATTCTCTCATGGATGGACAAATTGGTCCATTCGGTGGTCCAGGATAAGGCTTGAAAGGGAAGGTGGGCACTGACATATCCTTGCTTCGGGTCCTGTACTTTACTTTTCCCTAGTTGCTGCTTTTGATGTCAAAACCTTAACTGATTCACTATATATTTAACATTTACTCATTTCTAATTTGTATTTAATCTCTCCCGTTTTCATTACAGCAGCTTACTAGCAATTTTCTTTATCTGGTTCTCAGATTCTCTTATTTTGCTTGAATCTCCGGATTGCTCTCAATCGGAGAGGGAATGTGGGAGCTGTTTCAAACTGTAGTCGCTAGCTTCAGACTGTGCAGGGGCTAAGCAGCCTTCACGGTGCCTTGGTTCCTTCATCTATACAATGGAGGTAAAACCAGCATCAACCTCACAGATTTTCCTGAAGAGAATAAGTATGAGGTGAAGGTATTTACACAGCACCTGACACAGTCAGTGGCTGGTACCATGGTTCCCCGAGTCAGTGTAGCTTTCTGCATCCTGCAGAAAGGAAGCTAGGCTGGTCATTTTCCCAGCTTTTGTTAACAGAGGTGCCTGTTGCACTCCCCTGACCCCCCACCACCCCATTCTGCCGATCTATAAAATACTGAATCTGTTCCACCCACCCCATAAAGCAGTGGTTCTCAACCTTGGCTGCACACTAGAATCATCTGGGAATCTTTTTAAAATCCTGATTTCTGGGCCTCATCCTCCGGAAATTCTGTTTCTTTGTTACTAATGTTGTGGCCCCACCCCATAACAAAGAAACAGAATTTCTGGAGGATGAGGCCCAGAAATCAGGATTTAAAAAAGATTCCCAGGTGATTCTAATGTGCAGCCAAGGTTGAGAACCACTGCCATAAAGAAAGGCACTTTGATGGCGAACATGTTAACAGTGTGAACATGAGTAGAGGTGGCAGCCACATCAGCCTTTTATGGCCCCGCTGACCCCTTTTCCTTCTAGACGTCAGGATGACAGAGAGTCCTGTGTTGCTGCTGGGACCTTGTCTTCATCAGGCTTTGAACCAGGCTCGAGTGGCCCCTCGGAGATGCCCGCATCCTGTTAGTGGCATCTGTGATGGAGTGTTACGGAGATGGCAACGTCTCCCTTTCTGCTCGGGGCTCTCTTCCCGGGGTCATTCGTTTTCTTTTGTCACTTGCGGCCTCTCCAGAAGTGCACACTCATCATTCCTCAGTCACAGAGCACCTTTGTGATCTGAACCAAGGCAGCTGCTGGGGACCCAGGAGAGAGGAAACATCTCCTCTCTGCTTCTCGGAAAGCACTTCTGTTAAATAAAGTGACCTTGTCCTCAACAAATGCCTTCTCGCGGCATGCAAGCAGGAAATCCTCGCCTGGGTTTCAAAACATAGCGAGGTCTCCATCCATCTCTTGGTTTCCTGCCACTACTGTTAGGGTGACTGTGGACCTTGGTATTCCATTCATGCTTTAATAGATCCGATCGGGGGGGCCCGATATCATATTATTATAGCAGCTGAAGCACCAAAATATCAAGATCACTACAGTAAGGAGCTCCTCTATAAGATAAACAGAAACCAGTGGACATGACTGGTTATTATAAAGCCATGGTATGAAGTAATATTTTAATTAACCATAGTGTATACATCTTGGTTCGTGTTGAATATGTAATATGTTTATAGTGCTTCAAAATGTCCTAAATATAACATTGTAGTCCTCTAATGTGTGTCCCTGCACTATGTACATCGAATGCATTTGTCATCATGTCTCCAGAACACTTTGCAGGAAGATAAGGTGTTTTCCCTGCCTTACAGATGAGAAACCTAAAGCTCGAAAGGTTAAGAGAAACAAAGCTAGTAGGTGGTAGAGCCCAGATTCCAACCAAAATCAGATAGACACCCCAAAATCCACCTTGCAACCAATATGCTATCAGGCCATTGTTCAGGGACACCCAGTATGGGGCTATATGACAATTGGCGTCATTTTTTTTTTTTTACAACATGGCCCACTTATTTTGACTTTCATTAGTTTTCATAACCCCCCTCAGACAATTGGTCCTCTTGCAAAAACCTAAAACTCTTTGCCAATCTGAGTTGCTAGTGCCTGTAGCACAGTGTGGGCACCAAATTCCCCAAGCATATGCTGTTTTGTGTGACATTCAACTCAGGGCTCTGTCCTGGGAAAAGTGAAGTCTGTTAGACCAGAAACCACTTCTTTATTATGTCTGTTCTCAATTTTCACCTCAGAGAGGATATTCTTCTTCACCTCCCCTGAAACAGCGGCTCTTCCCTCCACTATACTCTACTCTTAGCCCATTCAATTTTCTTTCTAGTTTCCACAGAGCTACTTAACATGAGATCGTACATTTTCTTATTGACTGTTTTTCACACTAGAATGGAAAGTACTTGAGATTGAAGACTTTGTTTTGATCTCCCCAGAGCCTGAGCTTAATAACTAATTAGGCATAAATGGCTAATCAGACATCGGGAAGGATGGAAGCTTTAGGAGTGTTTACAGGAAGACAGAGGGGTGTTGTGTCTCTCTAAGGAAAACTGCTCCTGCTGATAGGTTGGTGAGAGGCAAAGGGTATGTGACAATATATTTAGCGTAGAAAATTGCCTGGAGTCCATTTTCCATCTTACAACTTGATATAGCTGTAACATATTACCTTTCTTAGTGTCAAAGACCATTAAAGATCCAGTCTATAACTACATCCCATCCCAGCATTTCTGCCAAGTTCTGTTTGGGAGCTAAAGCTCCCCTCTCTTCCCAGTCACTCCCACCATTAAATTATCTCTTGCCTTTGGGACTAGTTGAGT